ATGCGCACAAGTCGGTATTTTGTGGAAGAGCCACACTCAAGGGGCCAAAGAGCCGCATGTGGCTCGCGCGCGAGCCGCAGTTTGCCGACCACTGTCCTAATGAAAAGAGTTTGGAAGAGGGTTATAACACCTGATAAACAGCATCTGGGATATCTTTGAAGTTTACTGCAATATAATTAGCCAGCCCTGCAACAGCATTTTGCTGAGATACTTCTTTAGCACAGGAGCAATCCCCCAGTACCTGGAAGTCCGGATTTGGTCCTTGACTAAGATCATGCCCAAAGCTTCCTATGGTCATCAGCCCCACGAATTCCAGGCTGGGGCACTTGGCATTTATGTGTTCCACCATGGCTACTGTCTCTGAAGGTAGAAGGCCATGTTTACCTTCACAAAAATAAAAATAAAATAGAAGACCCTTATATCAAAATGTTTTAAGTCACTAGAGAAAGGGTCCACTTTCATCCCTTGCTTAAAATAGAGGAGGTGATTCTCAGACTAGAGGACTTCTGGAAAGAACTTGTTCTCAAGTCCAAGAGTAACATTTGAGAGCTTCATGTAGTTCCCCCTCTGGTCAGATTCTGAATTTCTCAAGGGAAGAACTATAAATTGAACTCTAATTGATCTCAATATCTGAGCTGAGAACAGCTAGGGTACAGGGAAAAGAAAAAACCCCACATTGCTTTACTTGGGACATCAAGAAGATCCTCATTGCAAAAATGCCAGATTAACCTGAGAATTATTTTTCCAAATCTGGTATTTCTATAGCTTTAGTAATTAATTAGTAAAATTGTAAAAAACTTAAAATAAAGTCTCTATGATACAGTTTTGACTATATGATTTGCTAAATTTAACAGAACTTTCTAATTAACAACTAGAGGAGGAATCTGCAGCAAATGATTATTTGTTATGCAGTTATAAGGATACTAATACTGTCTTTCCCTCATTTATCAAATGAAGATGCTAAGAACATTCACTTCAAAATTTAATTAGGGAAAACTATAGCTAATTATCAAGAAATGATGTAATAGATTTGATCTGGAGTAAATTTCATATTCAACTACATTGATAATGTAATACATAACTTAAGTGCGTATATATATGTTAAAATGTACTGAATACTTACTTACGTGCCAGACACAAGTGGTAAATCCTAAGTGCTTTTCATTTAATACAATAACTCTAATAAGCAGGTATTCTTACTATCACTACTCTAAACATGAGGCATAGGGAAGCGCAGTACCTTTCCCAAGGTCATACAAACAGAAGCTGTGAAACTAAGATTTGGACCCAGGTAGGCTGACTCCAGGGCCTATTTGGAAAACAGATGCATATATTGAACTCCTTCAGGCAAAGATTTGGTTAATACTCATGCTCTGATGGTTGGAAGCAAATGACTGATCTGTAAACAAATTGCTAACAAGTAAAATGTGTACAGGGTTCTATGCCAACAGCTTTACCTTATTAGCACATTCAATCCTCACAACACCCTCTGAGGTAGGTACTATTATGATTTCACTGCCTGACAAGAAAACTGAGGTCAGGGGGGTTAAGTAACTTATGCAAGATTACAAAGCTGGAAAGTGGTGGAACTCAAACCCAAGATTTGTCTAATTTCAAAGCCCATGCTCTGTTCACTGTGCTACACTGTAAACCAAGCCTGGAAAAATATTCACTGCCTGGTGCTCACAGTGATTTTCCTTCTATTTTCTCCTAATGTATCACTAAGCAGTTTATTTTTTAGGACCCAAGAAGAGTAACTTCTCATGTAACTTTGCAATCTCTTTCAGGAGTGATGGTGACTTCTGGGGATTTTCAGGAGATCAAAGTCACAATCTCCTTGATTCTCCCTGTTTGCCTCCTCCAAAATTAAGACATAACAGATCATAATGTATTAAAGAATACTATGTGGACTGGCTATCCTGCCATCTAGATCCTACATAACACAGCTTACTTAAAGGCCTGTGATTTCTTTCTATAACCTTAGCCATCAGATAAATTAGGCCTGCCATTCTTCCTGGGCGTCAACCACCTTAAGGGAAGAAAAATCTACAATACAGGTCTGGTCACTTACTCTCTTCTCCACTGGTGTTAATCTGGACCATAACCTTTAACCTTTCAGGAGAACCTTTTTTCTGCCACGAACTGTTCACTTTGTCTGCCAACTTCACAGAATCCACTGTTTCCAGCATGAAGAGATTGGGGACAGCTGTAATGAGAAACAGGCAAGGTAATTCTTCACATACTCTACTGCAGCAAACAACATACAACACATCTTTTGGTTGATGGAAAAATAATTTCCTAGGAAAAGAAAAAGACAGTTAAGTCCCAGTTCTGCTAATAAAACTTATATGAAAGTTTTACTAGATATAAGTTCAAATGTTAACCACTGCTGTCTAATCAGCAAAAGTAAATAAGGAGAGGGAAATCCTGACAATCACATAATCATGCAGCATATGTATTCACATGCTCCAAGAAGCTGATAATTGCAGAGATTCCTAATAGCAGGCTTGGTCTGATTCAATCTCAGTTCAAACTGGAGAGAACGGGTCAAGGACAATAAAAAAAAAATAAGTGGAAGCCAAAGAAAGTACTTCTCTGGCATGATATCACCATGTTCTTAAGCTTTCTGGGTTGGGGGCGCTAGAAACAACACCATCAAGACAGTGAAAAGAAAACTCATGGAACAGGACAAAATATTTGCAAATCATTTATCTGATAGGGTCTGGTATCTAGAATATATAAAGAACTTCAAAAGAAAATAGCCCAGTTAAAAAATGAACAAAAGGCCCGGCTGGTGTGGCTCAGTGGTTGAGCATTGACCTATGAACCAGGAGGTCACAGTTCGATTTCTGTTCAGGGCACATGCCTGGGTTTCAGGTTCGATCCCCAGTGTGGGGTGATGATTCTCTCTTATCATTGATGTTTCTATCTCTCCCTCCCTCTGAAATCAATAAAAACATATTTAAAAAAAAATGAACAAAGGATTTGAAAAGACTTTTCTCCATAGAAGATACACAAATGGCCAATAAGCACATGAAAAAATGTTCAACTTCATTAGTCACTAGGGCAGTGATGGCGAACCTTTTGAGCTCAGCGTGTCAGCATTTTGAAAAACCCTAACTTAACTCTGGTGCCGTGTCACATATAGAAATTTTTTGATATTTGCAACCATAGTAAAACAAAGACTTATATTTTTGATATTTATTTTATATATTTCAATGCCATTTAACAAAGAAAAATCAACCAAAAAAATAAGTTCGCGTGTCACCTCTGACACGCATGTCATAGGTTTGCCATCACTGCACTAGGGAATGTAAATAAAACCACCCTGAGATACCATTTCACATATTTTTAACTCCCTTTTAACACCTTTGCTGACTTATAACTATAACTCTTTATTGTATTATTTTATTGGCTGCTTTTTAAAAATTTTCTTTATTGATTAAGGTATTACATATGTGTCCTTATCTCCCCATTGCCCCCGCACCCCCTTATTGACTGCTTTTGAGTCTCACTTATCACAGTCTACCTTTAAGTAATATACCACTTCACAAAGTTTAAGAACCTTATAATAGTGTACTTTTGTTTCTTCCTTTCCATTCTTTATGCTATTGTTGTCATGTATGTTGATTTTACATGTTATAAACCCCACAATACATCATTATTTTTGCTTCTATAACACATTATAATAAAATATTAGAAAAAAAGAAATAAAATCCATCTTTGAAAAGTTTGATAAAATTGATAAATCTCTAGCCAGACAGACTAGAAAAAAAAAGAGAGAAGACAGAAATTACTAATATCAGGGATGAGAGCGTTGACATCACTATAGACTCTACAGATATTAAAAGGATAACAAAGGGAATTACAAACACCCTTATGCCCATAAATTCATTAATTTAATGAAATGGACAAATTCCTTGAAAGACACAAGTATCAATGCTCATCCAAGAAGAAACAGATTATGTGAATAGCCCTATATCTATTAGTGAAATTGAAACTATAGTTAAAAACTTCCCACAAAGTAAACTCAAGGTTTCACTGGTAAATTCTACCAATGGTTAAGGAAGAGATAATACTAATTCCACACAAACTCTTCCAAAAGACTTAAGGAAGAAATATTTCCCAATTCATTCTGTGAGGCCAGCATTACCCTTGATATGAAACCCAAATAAAGACATTTCAAGAAAAGAAAACTAGAGATGAATGTCCCTTGTGAATATAGATGCAAAAATTCTAAGCAATAGCTGACAAATAAAATGCAACATTATTTTAAAAGGATAATACTTCATGACCAAGTAGAATTTATCCCAAGGAACATAGGATTGATTTAACATTTGAAAATCAATAAATGTATTTCAATATGTTAACAAACTAAAAGAGAAAAACCATATGCTCATATAACGAGTTTTATCTTACCCATCAATTTGTTGACATTTTGTTTTTGCAGATGGCCAATGAAGTGCCATTTAATCTCAGGACATGAAGACAGAATCTGAAGAGAAAAAGGTAACTAAGTTTGATGTAGATTTTACGGAGGCCTAGCCAGCTCAAATACTTTGTACACTCCCTTCTGACCTTTCATGTCTATGCAATAATGCACTACCACCACCTTCAGCTAGGCTCCTAAGGATACTTAGAAAAACATTTAAGGCTTCTGTTTTTTTTTCTCTTCCTTGTTCCTATCAATTCCCTCCATCTTTCAGATATTGCTCATTAAGAATGAACTAATTAAAGCTTTCAAATCTCAAAAGGATCCACCATTACAGCAAACTCCTAAAAACCACCATTTTCAAAAACTTGCAAAGGAGAAAACGACAGTCTTTTAATACAGAAGGAAAATCTGATGGGGGGATAAGGACACATATGTAATACCTTAATCAATAAAGAAATTAAAAAAAAAAGAAAACCTGAGAAATATTTGGGGCTCAAGGTGACTGTGGACATTTCTACCGCCAACCCAACCTCTTGCTCTAAAACTCAAACACCAACATGGGTCAAATTTAAACTGAAATGCCAAGATTTAGATACAAACTCAAGAATTCAGATAGCTACTTACTTTTGGATTTGATGCTTTTTCTAGCAGTTCCTGAACCTACAGGGTAGAAAAAGACACGTCAGAGGTGTGGCAAACATGACTCTTCCGAAGGCAGTTTGGAAAAGGGCTCTTACATAGTTTTCTCCGAAAGTGCGCTGGCCATGACTGTAGGCCTCAATCACCATGTCTGCAGGTTTGGTTTTGCTGACGGCTACTAGCCGGGGCTCGATGGCTGGGAGGTCCTGCCAAGAGGGAAAGAGCCAGATAAGTGAATGTTTGGGAATAGTATCCTGATAAGTACTGTAAGATAGATCCCGTACAATAGATCAGCATACATCTTAACTTGTTTTTGGTAAGCTCCATTTTTCCAGTACTGCAGGGAGATCAGTTCCAAATAATGTTGTTCAAATGTCTTTCAAATGCACTGCATCTAAATCTGTTAGCTACTTTAATATTTAGCAAAAGACATTTCTCAGGAGAGTTGGGTAGGTAAGTAAAAGTAGTACATTTCCTTAAAATGCAGTCTTTGACCAACTGTTTCAGCATTACCTGGATCCCACTCCAGACCTACTGAATTTGAGTCTCTGGGACTGGAGTCTGAGAATCTCCCTTTTAAACAAACTTTCCAGATGATTCTCTTGCACACCAAGGTTGGAGGTTTAAGAATCACTTAATTGCCCTGGCCGGTATGGCTCAGTGGGTTGAGAGTCCCCTGGTTCGATTCCAGTCTGGGTTTCTGGACTTGACCCCCCAGTAGGGGGCATGCAGGAGATGTTTCTCTCTCTCTCCCTCTCTCTAAAAATATTAAAGAAAAAACTTTTTTAATAAAGAAAAAAATCACCAGTAATGGAAGGCATCACTCTGACTAGAAAGAAGGCTACTTCTGGTTCCTGAAACCCCCAAATTAACAGTTTTGGAAACTCATTCTGGTCATGGTATAATTATTAACATTGATCCCATTCACTTTCAAAAGTGGCCTGCTTAGAATAACTATATACTCTATTGTTCAGTTTAATCAAGAACCAGTGGCAGACCTGAGGCAGGGATGCACAAAAAACTCTGGACTCAGGATTAGACCTCTCCGACCCCCTTCTCATGGCCGTTACATAAAGAGCCAGGCTTCCCCAAATTCTACTGGAACAAAATCCACACAGAAGCAATAAGAGAAGAGATTCACCTCTCCTTACATAGTTCAGTTTTCATGTACCCCATCACCCTTTTGCGATTTTTACAGAATCACAGTATTCTCAAAGGGCCTGAGAAGTCAGGTCAATTACAAAGAGTTTCTTCTTCCTTCTGAGGGTGCATTAACAAAAGCCTTTTATAACATCATGTCACAACTCCCAGGATTATGTTGATGAACTGAAGGTTTCCAAACAGAAAGGTGAAACAAGCAGCAAGTCTGCCTGAGAGCTATACTGGGAAAACCTCCAAATGTGATGTTTATTAGGGAAATCCCTAGTTTATCTTGGAGAATCGCTGAGAATCATAGAACATTTACTCTGGGAGTGAGCTCAGAGCAATCAGAGTTCATTCCCTTGCCTGTGCAGATGAGGAAACTCCGGACCAGAGTAGCTAAATGACTTGTGGAAGGTACTATCTAACTAGTGGCCAAGGAACGGCTATACTAATACAGGTCTTCTGTCTCTAGGCCAGCATTTGGTTTTTATTTTTATTTTTCAATTATGGTTTACTTTCAATATTATTTTGTATTAGTTTAAGGTGTACAGCATAGTGATCAGACAATCATATACTTTACAAAGTGTTCCCCTCGATATTTCCAGTCCCCACCTGGTACCATACATAGTTATTGAAATACTAGAGGCCCGGTGCATGAAATTTGTGCATGGGAGGGAGGGGTCCCTCAGTCCGGCCTGTACCCTCTCCAATCTAGGACCCCTCAGACATCCCTCTCACAATCCAGGACCTCTGGCTCCTAACCACTCACCTGCCTGCCTGCCTGATCGCCCCTAACCTCCCTCCCCTGCTGTCCTGATAGTCCCTAACTGCCCGCCCCTGCCTGCCTGATCACCCCTAACCATCCTCCCCTGATTGCCCCTAACCTCCCTCCCCTGCCAGCCTGATCGCCCCTAACTGCCCTCCGCTGCCGGCCTGACCGCCCCTAACCGCCTCTGCCTCAGCCCCCGCCACTGTGGCTCTGTCTGGAAGGAGGACTGGATGACTGGAAGATATCCAGTCGACCCGGTCTAATTAGCATAGCACCCTTTTATTAGTATAGACTGTTGACTATTTTTCCCTATGCTGTACTTTTTACATCCCCGTGACTATTTTGTCATTACCAATTTGTACTTCTTTTTTTTTTTTAAAGTATATTTCTATTGATTTCAGAGATGAAGGGAGAGGAAGGGAGAGATAGAAACATCAATGATGAGAGGGAATCATTGATTGGCAACGTTCTGCCTGTTGGATGGAGCCCAAAACCGAGGCATGTGCCCTTGACAGGAATCGAACCTGGGACCCTTCAGTCTGCAGGCCAACACTCTATCCACACAAACCAGCAAGGGCCCAATTTGTACTTCTTAATCCCTTCACTTCTTTCACCTATTCCCCCAACTGTCCTCCCCTCTGGCAACCACCAATCCACTCTTTGTGTCTATGAGTTCCAGGCCAGCATTCTGAGTTATTCTTTTTTAAAAAATATATTTTTATTGATTTTAGAGAGGAAGGAAGAGGGAGAGAGAGATAGAAATATCAATGATGAGAGAATCATTGATCAGCTGCCTCCTGCACGTCCCCCACTAGGGATGGAGCCTGCAACCCAGGCATGTGCCCTTGACCAGAATCGAACCCGGGACCCTTCAATCCGCAGGCCAACAGCTCTACCCACTGAGCCAAACCGGCCAGGGCAGCATTCTGAGTTCTGACACCATAAGTACTGAGGAGAAAAGAAGCCTGTGACCTCTCTGTTGAGGTGCGTCTTACTGGGGGGGGGGGGGGGAGAGATATTGACTGACCCTTGGTCTAATGAAATTCCAGGAGAAGACAAAAAATATATATGGGGAAAAAAAAAGTCTCCTCTGAAGGGGATCAGATGTCAGCCCCCTCCAGCCGCAAACGCGCAAGTGCAGCTCGGCCAGGCCAATCGACCCGCCGGCTCCGTCGCCCACTGACGTTTGCTGAGCATCGACTAGCTGTCAGGCGCTGCCACACACGTGATCGCAGGCGGATCTGGCCCCCTTCGGGTGCTCCGGTAGGAGACGTCTTTTCTTGCCGCTCCTGGGCACAGGCCTGACCCTTCTCCCGTCCGCTAAGGTTGTTGATTCCCACACGAAGCGGGATGGGCAAAAGCCGCGATGCCCGGGGACCGGTCATTCTCCCGGGATGGCGGACACCTCCCGTCCCAACTAAGTCAACCTCCAGGAAACCGGCCAGTCTCATCTCGAGGCCACCGAGGGAGCCAGCCCTTCGCTAGCTTTTGGGGGCTTTACCACCCACGCCAAGGCCCAGGCGGCGGACCGGCCCCGCCCCTCCGGGAGAGCCCTCGGCGTCACCGTGACGACCTATTCCCACGCAGGTGTCCCCCTCCTCACAGCG